AATGTCTCACTGGTATAGATTTTTAAGCAAAACATGGTTTATTTATCTCAGGATATATCACTCTTGAAAAACAAAAGTTACTGGTTGATCAACCACAATGCAGACTTCTCTGCCTTCACCCTCTGGCAGAGAGGGGTGCGTTTTCTACGGCTCCCTCTCTGTAGCAAGCAGCAGCACGCTGCATCTTGATGCAAGAGATTCTTAAACAGAAGCAAGGCTGATAATCACCTCTCCACCATTCCATCATTATTATTCACAAAGCATTTTCCTTGCTTAACTGTTTTGTGCCAGCCCTGATGGTTATTCCAAGAAAATCACACATGAAGGTCCATGCCTTTAGAAGGGTGTAATCAAAGACCTTTGGTGTACACAGGACAGACCTACAGCAGAACACAGTAGGTGCTCAGGAAGTGTGTGCTAAATTGGTGAATTTGTGAATAAGTCATAAACTAAGTCATATACAGAGCAGGACTGAATATATCATTTGTGGAAAGGGTCAAGAAAAGAACCAAGGGCATCCCAGTTTTAACAGCATCCTTCTTTTGCATAACTACAGTTGACAAGGGAACTTTTACACCTAGGCCAGCCATGTGTGAAGGTGTTAGTTTGTGGTGCCAAATTTAAAATGAATTTACCCCTCTTGCCTCATCATCAACCTTTCTAGGCTTCTCTTCCAATTCTCCCCTATAAAGTATGTTTTGCTCCCTTCTCTAGACATTTTCCAGGAACATTAATATTCTCTTACCTCAGATGTCACATTTTATTCTTTCCTCTGCTTATTGAAATGTCATTCACTGTATTGTTTGTGAACATGTTTGTCTCATGTACTAAATGATAAACTTCTTCAGGGTAGGGTCTCATACATTTGTTTTTATCATCCAGCATGGCTTCTTGTACCATGTAAGGACTTGGCCAGTATTGGAAAAAAGGAAGGGAGGGAAAGAGGGAGGAACTAATAAAAAACATAATGGAATCCCAAGTTGGAAGAAACCTTAGAGGTCACCTAATCTTCACATGAGTTCCCTCTATAACATCCTTAGATGTGTCATTAAAAAATTCTTTATGTATTTGTTTATTTTCAAAATAATTCAGCCTATGTACAAATGGTTTTATTTTTCCTTTCTGGGAAATAGGGGAAAATGATGAATAACATAGATAAGAAAGGATGTTGAAATTTTGATAGAGTACAGAAATGTAAAATACTATTTTTATAGGGAGAAGAGAATAATAAAAATTATCATGAGACAGTGAGCAATCATTTAACTTTACTGATTTTTTTTCCCCAAAAGAGGCCACTATTAATCATTTCTTGCTATTCTGAGCATGTATTTGTGCTGCTGCAGATTTCTGTGCTCTTCTTTGTCAGTTTGAACCATTCCTTGGTACGAAAGTGACAAGTAGTGATGGTGGGAAACTGACAGAATGAGGCGCAAGGATGAGTCTTGCTCATTTTTCGGGATGGGGGTGGAGACGTCGAACCTTCTTACAAGTGTTCAGTATTTCTTGTGCCGTTTTCAATGTGAAGGAGTGGTTGCCATATCTAAAATGTATCTCAGACAAAAATCTGTGTCACCTTTTTGGGTCCCTTTCCCACCAAAAACAGCCCACATATTTGAGGGCAAGATCATTCAAACACTTTCCATGGTTATCTACTTTAATCTTAAAAGACTAGAGAAATTTTTGTTTGTCTGTTTCTGTATTTTTGTTTCCTAGTTAGCCCAGTGAAAGGGAACTCCCTGGTGATCTGGGGGTATTTAAGCATGATTTTGCTGGTGGCTGCATAATATGTATGGTGTTCTTGGGCAAGCAAGTTCCTCCTGCTTGCTTTTTATTCCATTCCTTTAATATCATCATGCTCCTCTCAAGCCATACTGCTCCAATACTCCCATCTGTTCACTGGCTTTGGGGGAATTTTTGTGTGCTAATGCAAAAACCTGGTTCACAATCCTCAATGACTAGCCTTGCCTAGTTCTCTCAGTTTCTTTTAGAGCACATTCTGGAATAGAAATTAAAGGATGCATGTGGACACATGCCTAGGCAGGTAGATAGAGGCATATATGCAGAAGAAAATATGGGTATGCTGCAAATAACTCTCATCTAGCAACTAAAATCTATGTGGTTCTATTCATTAGAAATGGTTCATGAGCAAGGATCTGATGGCAATATAAAACTATTTTTTAAAAATTCCATAGAAATGATGGCCACTGAAGGGAATTAAGAGTTAATAGTCTTAATGATTTCAAGTTTTTTAAGAAATCTGAACCTAGAGCAATCTAGAGGAAATTATTTTTAATAGAGACCCACTACTCAAAAGTCTCTGGGGCTTTCAGGGCCATGGCATTGCTTTAGTCCAGTATCTTCTGAAAAAAGAGAAATCATAGAACAGACTTTCCATAAATGGACAAAACAAAAACTTTCCATAAATGGACTAAACAAAAGACAAGACTAGAGTATGATTTTTTAAAATTTCAATCTGTCGGTCAATAAACCCTGGTTTGGTTGCAATAATGAGAGATTCACTAAAGCTAATTTTAGAAATGGCATTTTCAAAGGTGACTCTCATGGAACCCAGCTTTAAGCAATAAAGCTACACATTGTAAACTAGAAAGTCATCAGAGAGCCAGTTATTCTCTTTGGATTTTCAAGGTGTCTCTTCATTGAAGATCTTTCTTCTGTCTGTAGACCAGCTTCTTCTGGAGTCTCTTCTCTCTCATATCTTTGGCTTGCAGGTAGCTTTGGGTTCCAGACTACCAGCTGGCCTCAGCAAAGCAGGTACTGTGAAGCTTCCATGTGCAGTGCCATCTGATCACAGTTTCTGTATCTCTTAGGTCAAAATATTAAGAGAGAACATCTGATTGACTAAGCCTGGGTCAGGTGTCCATCTCTGCTCCCATCAGCTAGGATGAGAGACAGATCCTCTGATACAAACATCACTATCCAAGGCCTAACTCTTTATGTCACATTTGAAAAGGTAGGGGGATGGCAATCACCTCAAATATGTTTGCTATAATACCACCTATATTGGTATGTTTGGCAATGAGAAAATACAATAGTAACTGATATTTATTGACCATTTATCACGTCAGATAGCACGATAAACTTATATGTATTTAATTTGGTATCCCTATTGTATAGGTACTATTATTATGTGTAATTTACAAATGAGGAAATCGAGGCTTAGAGAGATCAAGAACATGGGTCACTAACTGGTATTGAAGCCAGGCAATCTGACTCCATGTCAAATCTAGAGACTATGTTCTTAAACATAAAGCTGACCTCCTTTGTTCTGGCGTATTAAGAAAGCCACAGAGATAACAATCTAGCTGCCAAGATGGGATACATAAACCCAAATTAGGGGCTAAATAAATGCTTAAAATAAATTATATGTGTTATTAGACTCCAGAGGAGGAAGAGAAAGAACACTGTGAACTGAAGTAGTCAGAAGGAAATGGGATCTCTCATAACTTTCGAAAAATGGAGAAATGAGTGGTCCTGACAGAACAGTGCGAGCTCACAGTTCACTTTTATACCTCACATGTTAGTATCACTGCTAATTTCAAGACCAGTGTGGTGGGGTAAGTCCCACAGCTCAGCCTCTGAAGTCCTTGACATTCTCAGATCTTTAGTAACCCCCTCATGCGGCCCACTCCCCAGTGTCTTTTCCAGCAGCCTCCTGTGCTTCAGCCGCCCTGAATCTCATCTCTGTATCTTTGCTCTTCTCTCTCCCTACAGTGCCCTTCCTGACCTCTTGTTTACCTGTCAAACATCTGCTTACTCTCCAACCTTCAGCTCAAGTATCTGTTTGTTCTTCATTCCTTTGTACTTCCACATTCTTGCCATTCAGAGTTGGTCAGTCTCCTTTTCTGCTCCCATAATATCTGTAAGTATTTCTTACATCACCTACAACACTTACACCTTTTTTATACATTTTATACATTTTTATACATTTTATACATTTTTATACATTTATACCTTTACCCATCTATTTCATTCTTTCACACTGAAAGCTCCTTCAGCTTAACTCCTTGTCTCTATTGTTCTTCTTGTATCCCCAACACTTAACAAAATGCCTGGCACACAGAGGCACTTGCTAAATGCTTATTGAATGGATGGATGGATGGAAGAAAGAATGGAAGTATGTTTGAATATGGGAAAACAATAACTGTGGTCTTGTGGTAGAATGGTAACATTTGTTTACTACTTAATAATACATAAAATATTTTTACATGACTCTTCATTTCAGCTTCACAACAGCTCTTTGAGGCGGGTAATTCAGTCAATGAATCTAAGCTTCAGGAGGGTAATAGCACAAAGCCAGCAAGTGGTGAAGTCGGTTTTCTGAGTTCAGCCTTGGCTTTTTCTGCAACAGGGAGCTTCTAACACAGACATTTGGCTGGTTTCGAGGGAAGCGGCCAGGATGAGCTATTACTCATCCTAAGCACATTTTCCAAAGTGGTAATATTTTCACCAAATTTTAAGGTAATATGATTCTTTTTGGAGACACTGAGGAAAAGATATTAAAGGAAGCTATGTGAAAGCAAAAGAGAGACCCCCACAGAGGAGGTATTAAAATGGTGGAACTTGTTTTTCTGTGCCAAGTTTCCCTCAAACCAGTGGGCAGTCACACTTTCTAGCCCAGCCCAGGTATCAGGCTCAAAGTCTTAGACCTGCCCTGGTCTTTCTTACGTCGTGGTACTGGGAGTCCTCCGCAGGAGCCCCAGTTACACTTACAGGTGTTAGTGACTGAGGACTGAGAAGCCTGGAGAGGTAGATGGTTAGCAGGTTTAGCAATTTATATAGTTTATTCCACAGTTATGATATCATTCTTACCACAATGATGAGTACACAGTAAATTGGATTGTGTTTGACTTAAAAGCTATTTTTATAGTTGCTTTTCAATGTCCAAAATAAATGCAGAATCAAGCTTATTGTAAAAATCGAGAAAAGCAAAAATTAATTTTCTATTTTTTTCTTCTTTTGTTTTTCTTTCTTTTCATCAGATGGCTTCCCTTTATGTCTCAGGGCATGATTCATTCAGAAATTGAACTTTTTCGTCAAGGTGAGAATTAATGAAACCTTTGGTGGAAGAAAGGACAAGATGATTTTGACACAACTGGACGTCATGGAACAATCCCCAGTTGCCCCCAGAACGTCCTCTTTGATAGCTTACCCTTCACATCAGATTTATAGTTATTCCTCATAGTGAAAATAAAAGTACATGTAAATATGTGTCTTGGCAATGTTATATGACCTACTGTAAACTAAAAGTCAGCCTAAGGATTTGCTACCGTTAAAGAGTTAAACATACTTCATTTTTCCCGGTTATAATGTTATCAGACAGATCTATTATTAACTGCACTTCACTTTTATTTTTGCAGAAATGCAAATAAATCATCAACCTAAAATACAAGAGGAAGCAAATGGTAAATGTCGTTGCCACTTTTTGTCTTGTAATCATCTGAAATAATCTATTTCTATTTCAAGATTACCTGCCTTGTACAATTTTTAGTATGTTCTTATTGAATTTAAACTATTGATTGAAAAATATTTAATGTGAATATAGAAACAGGCATTAAATTATAGTTTCACTTATGAAGAAACTAACGTAAGCAACTTCAGCCCCAAATGCTTTTTCCCTTCAATAACTTAAATATGGGGAAATAATTATTTGTCAAATGATTAATTTCTATTAATTGTACTTTTTTAAAACTAACTTTGTATATTGGTTTCTCAGTTTTCTAAGTCTTTTGAGATTAGCTTTTTCTGTTAGATCCTCTTCAAATCAACCTGCAATTGTGTCGTTAATATATTTACATTCTGCTGATCTGAATTAGATGGATCAATACAGATTACTAATATGCCTACCAATTTAACAAACACTGTGTTTTCAAAAATGTATTGTATGCAGTAATTTGAAACTAGGCAAGGGTTAATGCTAACATTATTATATTCATAAAGTCCTGTATTGATTAGGATGGCCACTGAAATGCAAACATCATGCCCACTCTGATAACTAGCATTTGCATTAGTTATATTAGAAATTGTATTTCAGCTTATATTTTACTTTTTGTTTTTAGTTATTTATAGGGGAAAGGCTGTGCACATCTCAGACTATTAATATGGATGTAATTTTACTAATGATCTAGAATCTCTTAGTAATTTTAAGGGACCTCAAAAGATCTGTGTCTTACAATAAGCCCTTAAGTAAGAAAGCTTGAAATGACATTCTAAGTAGAAAAATTAGCCATTAATTCCAGAACTTACTGGGGTATATATGAATAATATAGGTTAATACTTTTAAACTGAAGATTCTAGTTAAGGATGAAAATGTTGAAAGACTCTTGTTAATAACATTAGCTGTGTAATCAATGTCACTGACACAGAATATAACAAAGTTGCATTATATAGCAGAGGTGTTTACCTAGGAGTTTGTTAGAGACACTTTATCAGTGCAATTTGATTAAAATAAACTATTATAAAATGTTTTCTTATAATTAATTATTTCTGTGGTTTTAGTTTATTTTATGACCTCATTAAAATATCTCTATTTTTTATAGTATAAATGTGGATTAATCACAAACTTTAGTTTATGAGTTACTATCATTATTTGTCTGTGAATGGTCCTCTTGTATTTTATTTTTAAAGTCTGAAGAAGGTTATCTTTAATATTTCTTGGGGTATGATTCTAGAAATACATTAGTAGTCTTATAGTTATATGAATAAGCTAATTTATGGTGTGGAAAGAACCTTGAGAGGTTCTTTCTGATGAGGCAGTGTTGCTTTGTGGTTAAAAGTGTTGACGAGCAAACAAGAGTCTTAGCATTTGAAAGTATATGAAGCATCTTTATGTAATTCATGCCTTTCTATGTAGCTACAGTAGGAAGAAAATAGACCAAGATGCTATTTCAGTTTAATAATAGAAAGGAAAAAGAAGGAATCAGCTGAGTTAAGTTAATTTCATTTTGAGGTAGTTAACAATAAATACGGTTATGTACCATCACTCACTCTGTGCCAAGTTTAATGAATTCCCACAATCTAACATGTTTCCCAAACTTTGACACCTTATAAGTATAAATATTTATAATTTATATAGGTAAATCATTTGTCATAGTAAAACTGCATTTCTGAGTTAGATTGAACTAGGTCATAAGATGGTATTTTTAATATACATTGCTGGATTGAATTTCCTAACCATGATCAGTGCCTTTTGTATAATGCTCTCATAGCTAGCCACTATGCTAAACCTTCTTACTAATTCTAATAAATTTATATTAATTCTATAGTAATAAATTCTATAATAATAAATACATTCAAATTAATTCTAATTCTAACGAATTTTCTCAAGATACTCTTTGAATGATCTGTGAAGGCAGCCATCACATGCAAATAATGATATTCCTTTCTTGGACAAAGATGCCGTCTAGGTCCCTGGTACAATGTAGAACAGAAGCAGTAATGGCAATATTCATAGTGGGCACATATAGAATTTACTATGTAGAGTCTGAGCGTTTTAGATTTATTGACTTGTTTAATCCTCACAATAACCCATGAGGTAGATGGTATCATTATTCCATTTTACAAGTGATAAAACTAAAGGACACAGAAGTTTTTTTAACTTGCCTAAAGTCACACAGGTGGGAAATAGCAAATTTAGAATTTGAATCTAAATGGTTTAGTTCCAAGAGTCTTTACTGTTCGTGCTTTAAAGGAACTTCTTCCAAATGCTTAATGGAAGTCAACATTCTTTAAAGACATTAAGAATATGTGTGTTTATATGTGTGTATATATCGTCCATGTCTTTGGATTTATTTTGCTGTGTTATTTTTTTAACTTATTAGGCTATATTTTTAGATCTTTAGCTTTCAACCTTACTCAAGACCCAAATGAAAGGATGTTTTTAACTGTCAGGGGAGATTATTATTGTTATTGTTATTATCCTTATTAATCTTATTTTGTCCAGAGCCTTTGTGGAGACAAGTGGGTTTCTGCTAAGCTTCATTTGCTGACAATTATTTGGAACCTAACCTTTCACTAAGGGTGTAGCCCCTTTTGGCTTATTTCAAAAGTCTCAGGTCCAGTGCCCACCCTTACGTGGGCCGTAGCCTCTCATTCTCCTGGCCTGGGGCATTGACATTTACCACAAGCACAACTCAGGCCTTCTTGACTGCTAGCTACTCACCACTCAGTTTCTGATGATGGCCACTTTATTATTATTATTATCATTATTGTTATTATTATTATTTGGAAGTGGGAGATTTTTCTTTCTTGGGAATGAAATAATGTACTGAAAAATTTGGGTATTTTTTTTAATTTGCAATTTATCCAAAAACTAGTGGTGTTATAGTGAGAGGGCTTTAAAAATATCATCCCAGGAAACTGGCTCAGAAGTATCGGTAACTTGTCTTAAGTCAAGCAGTTAGTAAATGAAAGAACTGGTCTTGGAATTCAGCTCTTAACCATTATAAAGCTGCTTCACTTTAAATGACTAAGCTTCCTACATGCTCTCAAGGGTTTCTGATTTGAGGGACTATAAAATTCTTGGAGTACTTATTCGTTTATTTATAGGCAATGCCGACTCTTTGTAGCATAATTGCTAGCAACTTGGTGAATTATCTGTAGTAAAGATTATTAAAATATTTTCTCTCTCCTCTCGATTCTGTTTTCCATACAAGCTTGTTGGCCTCACTACCCAAATAGTGTGTGCTCTAGGAGAGAAACTGAAATTTAATTATTAGTCTCAGCTAAACATATTTAAGAACATAAACTATCCTGTAACATCATCATGCATTCGGAATCAAATGTAGATGGTTTTGGATTGCCCCCCACTCTGATCAGTTATGGCACAATTTTTTGTAGTTGTGTAGGTAATAATTAGGTGACCCCCTGAGCTCCCATGTCGGAATCTTCTACCTGTTGTGTCAGTCTCATTTCCTGGATAGGAAGACACACTGTGGGTGCCTGGGAACCTGGGTGGGCCTGAGGGGTCAGTGTCTCAGATAACTTCCCATAATGTGTGCAGCTGAGATGCCAGAGAAACTGTCTCTGGGATTACCCCATCAGATCCAACATAGGTGGCCTGAAACTGGATTAACAAATTCCAGTGGGGCTAAATGGGAAGAGAGAAGTCAATATGTGAACAAGTTTGGAACCAAAAGGAGGAAGGTGAGCCCAGAGGATTTCTTAGCAGAGGCCAGATGTTTGCTGTGATTTAGTGTTTGGTGCCCAAAACCTTCAGCATGTGTCTGCCAGGAGGAGTTAAGTGAGCAACCAGGGAGACGATGCAGTGCTCCCCATGCCCCCTGCTTGTCTTTTGCCCCATTTTCTCCCGACGTTCACTAGTCAATGTTTGGATAGTCATTCATGCTACATTGATTCCAGAACACTGGTTCACACCTTTTCCTGACTGAGACAAAATGCCCATAATTCAACATAGTAATTGAATGAAATGGATAAAACACTAAAACAGTGATACTATGATCTCAGCATCTTCAGAATATCCAACAGCTGTGCAGAAACATTACCACAAAGAGCCTACTCTCAACCAATTTGAATTTAGAGATAATTCACAGAAAGCATAGTATGGTTTGGGGCGAAATAGAATTAATCAGTGGTTCTTACTGAGTCTGAGGCAAGGTTTCTCAACTTTGAGACTTGACATTTTGGGCTGGATAATTCTTTGTTGTGAGGGACTGTCAAATATATCATAGGATGTTTAACAGCATCCCTGGCCTCTACCCACTAGATGCTAATAACACTCACCCACCAGTTGGAACCACAAAAAATGTCTCCAGGCATCACCTAAATGTCTCCTGGGGGCAAAATCACCCCCAGTTGAGAACCACTAGAGAATAGTGGTTCTGTTGGAAAAGGGGGCTAAGAAATTTTGGGATAGGCAAGTCTGGAAAGGCAGATGTGACAGACTGTATTTGTTAAAAATGTCTGTAACTGCAACATTTCCTATCCAATGTGCTTTTCCAGAACCTTGCCAGTCCCCCATCAAAGGCAAAATCAACCTGGGCAGACCTTTAAGACTGCCTCAACTAATAGTGTGCAGCAGAAGTTATGCTATGTAACATACGCTCTCTCATACATAGCTCTCTCTCTCTCTCTCTCTTTCTCTTTCTCTCTCTGTCTCTCTCTCTCCCTGGGAATATTTTTCCTTGGAATCCAGCTACCAGGCTATGAGGAAGCCCAGACCACATGGAAAGGTCTGCATGGAGAAGCACAAAGGCTGTTGCCCTGAGCCCTGGCTGAGCTTCCAGCCAGCAGCCAGCAACAACTTGCCAGTCATGTGAGAGAGCCATCTTGGAAGCAGATCCCCTCTACAGTTGGGCTGCCCCAGTTGACACTGCTTGGAGCAGAGATGATCCTTCTCTGCCAAGTCTGGCCCAAATTTCAGATTCATTGGCAAAAGAAATAATTT